AGATGAATGATTGACCGCAGTCAAGGAGTGAAGAAGACAAAGCCTCAGGAGAAATATTTTTCAAGTCACGGAACTGAATAAGACGTTTAGGATTTGGAGCAGCCAAAGTTGAAGGCACTTCTAGGGAGATGACACTGTGGTCCGAGACACCCAGGTCATATACAGATAAGTTGTTGATAGTTATAGTGTCTGTGATCACCAGGCCCAGAGTATGCCCCCTGTTGTGTGTAGGGGCTTCAACATCCTGGGTAAGATTAAGCGAGTCCAGAAGAGACTTAAAATCTGCTGTCAGACTGGAGGAAGAATGATTAATATGGATATTTAAATCTCCAAGAACGATATTTTTCACAGGACTGGCACAGAAAGAAGTGAGGAGTTCATGCATCTCTAAATTAAATGAAACATGTGGTTTTGGAGGCCGATAAAGAAATATAATATTAATCTGGAGAGGGGCTATAAGACTGAAGGCCAAACATTCAAAAGAAGAAAAGTCCTGAAGGGCCAGATGGGACAATTTTAAATTACTGCAGTAAATTACAGCCAGACCGCGGCCCGTGTGGCGAGCTCTCTGCAGATAGCTATATCCAGGGGGACGGGCTGCATTCAGTGAACTGTACTCATCCGGTTGGTGCCATGTTTCAGTAAGGCACATAAGGTCCAAATGCTTCTCCAGAATATGGTCATGAAAAAGACAGGATTTGTTGGACAATGATTGTGCAAGTCTCTCCCTTCACTGGAGGACTTGCACAGCGATCGCTGTCTTAAAAAGGCACAACACATCACAAAAGACACTTCTCACCCCGGATATTCTCTGTTTACACTGCTGCCTTCAGGCAGACGATACAGAGCCATCAGAACAAGAACCAACCGACTCAGAGACAGTTTCTATCCTACAGCAATAACAAAACTAAATGCAATCAAAAACAACCATTAATCATCATGAATGATGTGTGTGAGAATGTGGCTATTCTTATTTATTAGTTGTTTTTTTATCACTTACTTGTGTATTTCTTACAGTATGTGTAAATTGTGAGACAAGTTTTTTAAGCATATGCACTGACTGATGGCACTTTTTAATTTTCGTTGTTCTTGTGACAATGACAATAAAGATTTATCTATCTATCTATAAATGCATGTGTAGATTATCTGTGTCATGCAATAATATAATTGCAATTTTAGTAAATGCTGCTTTTAGTGCTGTGAGATTCTCTTCAAGATGATGGAATCATGGCGTCATCATTGATTTGTGACTCGGTGAATAATATCATGTCATGTTTATTTTTAGTTTTCTTTTATTTTGCTTGTTTTTACCTTTTTTCTATGGACCTTTTTAGTGTCTGGAATAAATATATGATTGATTGATTGATTGATTGATTGATTGATTGATTGATTGATTGATTGATTGATTGATTGATTGTCAACAATTTGTGAATAGAGCAAAACACTTAGCATGCTATAGGTAAATATTATTTAGTTTGGCTAAGAATAAATATTGCACTGTCAATGAATGACGTCTAATAGATGTTCTATAGGTACCAGAGGGACACAGTAACGCCTCCATGAGCTCAGAGGTTCAAACTGATAAATAAAGAGGATGGATGATCTCTGCTGAAATATTCCTGCCATCTTCCATGTTCTTTCAGCAAACAGTTCAGACAGAGCTATTTTTGGTTTCACCACTATTTACCTGCTGTTATACCTGCCATTCAAAGTATTCTTAAAAGATTCTGTTAGTCTGCAGCTCATGTGACCAAACCACCGAGGAGATGAAAAGTTAAAACTCAAGTTAAAATGTTTAGTTTTAACATTTTAACCCAACAATCTCTACCTAACTAGAGGTTGTAGATAACCTTAAGTTGGGTAACCCCCAGGTCTTCTTAAAAGGTAGAGTCTCTGAGAACAGTTCTTAAAGATATAGTCAGTGTTTTCAGAAAAGTTGAGCTGCCTGTCCAGGAATGACTCGAGGAATTTAAAATTTGCTAGTTTCAACAGGTTGGCCATCGAGTGAAACTGGAACCACTTTCTTCCTTAAGAAAATGAAAAGGTATGTTCTTCTGTGAGGGAATTTAACTTTTACTGGCCCAGTAATGCCAGAATTAATAATAAGTAATAAAGACTGTGGTATTCTGATTTAGTAATTATATTAGTTGTGTTACCACTCCACGCCACTAGAGGCAGTAGCAACCCCGAAAAGATGCGACCAAGAACCAGATCTAGAAGTACGCCGAAAGCTACAGAATTTGCTAAAAACTGTGAGCTTTCCTGAAGTAAATAAAGTAAATAAGTTCAAATACATTCT